AGAGAGAGAGAGAGAGAGAGAGAGAGAGAGAGAGAGAGAGAGAGAGAGAGAGAGAGAGAGAGAGAGAGAGAGAGAGAGAGAGAGAGAACAAGAAAAACAGAAGTAGACAGGATATCATCCCGAACGCGACGATAAAATTATACCATGAAGCACAGTAACTAGCGGCAGTGGCCCGACTAGTTTCGGCTGGCCGCTCCCAGCACTCATCAGGGGCCTTAAGTCAGGGAGATAATGATTAGCAATAAACGCTCCTATTTATATCCTGTGAACATCTGAAAAGACGCAGAGTTCCTACCGCAACGAGGCAAAACTATCAACCACAGGTCACTAGCTCGAACCAGCCGACCTTCAGAAAGGGCACCAAAAGAGGTCCCAAGATCGAAACACAGCTATAGCAGATAAACAACAAATAGTCTACGTCCCGTTCCACAAATCAAATTGAGGCGGCAAAGGAAAACAGGCCGCACATCCAGAACCTCTCAGTAGGGGACCCAAAAATAGCCCTTGGTCCCGTTATCGAACCACGTTCAAAGAACAAATCAGCGACGTCGAATCGGCAAAGGTCCAAAGACCCTTCACCGCTGACCTCCGCAACAAATGTTACCACTACGCTCAGCTCAGCAGTTGAAAAAACGTTTCCAATCGGTCAGCACAGGAATCCAGTGATCCCAACAGCCACCATTCTTCCGTGAAAAGTTCACCAAAGCTTTGTCAAAGTAATCATCTGGATAGCCTCGTTTCCATGGCTCACATTTCAGAGTAGACAAAAAGGAGAGTTCAGCAGCGGGCAAGGTAGTAAGGGTATAACATCGATGAAGGAAAGACCCAATGGCTGCCAACTTCTGCCGCCGACTCGAATAGGAAGAGAAATCCTGAATGCTATGGAAGACTAATGGCTCATACACCCCCACTCTCTGGTTCTTATGGGACGCAACACGGGTAATTCTGGCAGGCTTCTCAAAAACTCTCACCTCACAACCAATAAAATCCCAACACAGTCCATTGTTGGTCTGTTCTAACACCAGATTATCATCGTAACAATTCCGGAATCGATCAAGAAGATGCACCGCTTTTCTCCGTGATTCATCACATTTCAATCGATACCTAATGAAAACTGAAACCATCGTCAACAATACAAAATCCACAGATCAGCTTCCGATCAACTCCGTAGCAAAGGTTTTGGCCAAAACAATACATGGGAAGATGGGTATATATGGAATTTGGCCAAATGAGGCCCAAATCATTATTGTGCCAATAAACCTCACGGCTCCACTCACCAAAGGCATAACGAGAAGAATTATGCATCTTTGCACGTTGCAGGAGAAGGTTCATTGTCATATTGCACATTCGATGAGCACTGCCGACCTGGCCGAATAGGTCATAAACCGAAGGGAAAAGTTATGAACGCCCACCAGCCAAAACCAGTATGAAGTCCTTCGGGACATCCTTTAAAATTGGAAGGATACAGAGAAGGGTACATTAGCAAATGGCCCCTGCCCAAGGATAACATAAAAAAAAAAAAGAACAAAAAAAAAAAGACAGTATGTACCCTGAGTGCTCTGAGGTAACGGGCCTTGCTCGGCTACTCTACACATGCACAGAAGACAAAAATCATGGCCGTGTATCTTTCCAGGTTCTCTAGCCGACGATTCACTCTCGTTTTGCACTTTTTTTTTTTTTTTTTTTTTTTTTGAAGTTTTGCACATTTCCAAAGTAGTGGAGCGAGGCCCAATATGGGCCTCGCCACACTACTCCCGACTTGGCCATTTTCGGGAGTGCAGCATCGCCACACCAGCTCCCGAGTTCAAGCTGTCAGATTGAATTCGGGAGCTGTCAGAATGTGCCTCCCGAGAGCACTCCCGAACTCCCCGACTGCAAAGCTTTTTTTTTGAGAGACCTCCTTCGCTCCTCCGAGTTTCATCCCAGATTCGGGAGAAGGGACAAACGACTTCTGCCAGACTGTTCCACACTGATCATGTCCATATGTGGCAAATGACATTTTCAGAATTTGAGTGCGGCCGGGTCGAGAGTGTAGTGTGGCGAAAGGCACTCCCGAGCGGGTTTTCACCTCCTGGAGCACTCCCGAAAATTTTCCCAATTCGGGTGTGGTGTGGCGAGGCCCTATCTCTATTTGAGTGAAGATGAACATGGTCCAAGCGTTCAATGGTGGTTATATCCTTGTTCTTTTTTTTTCCTTGATTTGGGGAGATTAATTGCAAAATTTCTGCTTTTTCCAAGTTTGGCAGCAAAAATGTTGTCCTTTCGAAGTTTCCTTTCCAAAAAAAGAGGTTTCTTTGCAGCTTTACGGGGCTCCCATAGTTTGCCAGCAAAAATAAAAGTACAGCCTTTTGCCAAGTTTCACAGCAAAGGAGCCCTAGAGCATGGTCCCATTAGGAGTCGGATAGGAGTGTGGCCGATCCAGTGGGACACTGAGTGGCAGCGGTCTGACAGGTTCATTACGAACTTTTTTTTTTTTTTTTTTTTTTGGGTTACAACGCGAGCTTATGGGCTGAGAAAACAGGAGAAGTGCAAACAAAAAAAAGAAGAAACAGAGACCTCCCACCTGAAATCACGCCAGAGTGCTTCCCAGCCATCAGATCACAGATGATTTGATGGTGGTGGTTGCAACAACAGTGAACAAAGTAACTGCCACATTTTCTGGAATAAACTCGACTTCTGTCAGCAGTGATCCTGACACCCTCCATATACTCCGTGATTGAAGGGGGGCTCCACCCTCCTAATGAGATAATTGCACAACAGCAAGCAAAATACTGAAAATCTTCTATCCAGTGGGCCTATGGCCGACCCCACCCTCTTTTGGGGTTGGCCACACCCCCAACCGATTGAAAAGATTCTGGCGGGGAGCTTTCTTTGCACTGGCATGCCCGGAGAGGAGGAGGGGAACAAAGATCTCCTTACTTTTTAGTGTAATACATGTAAAATACTGACCGTGGAATCATGAGTACTGCACGGCAGGATTTGGGTCACTCAACTGTCCCACAAACTCGTTTCTATCCTATCCCGTTGCTAGTGGGACCATTCTCCTAGGCCTCTGGCCTCAGGTACTCAGGGACTCAGTGTTCTGGCCTCACGTAGTAAGGGATGCATCGTTTTGTTCCTTTTTTCCCTTCCCGTGGGCCATGCCCGCGGTCGCAGGTAAAAAAACAAAAACAAAAGAAAAAAAAACCGTTGCCTCGCATCTCGGTCGTGGCCACAGCACAGCCGAGATGCCTCGGCCACTCCTGCAGGGAAAAAAAAAAAGATGCTGCATCCCTGAGTACCTGCGGGCCGAGGCCTTCAGGTCCTTTTTGCTGTGAAACTTGGCAAAACGCTGAGTCCCTGAGTCCCTGAGGCCAGAGGCCTACAGGTCCTTCGCTGTGAAACTTGGCAAAACGCTGTATTTTATTTTTGCTGGCAAACTATGGGAACCCGGTTAAGCTGCAAAGAAACCTCTATTTTTGCAAAGGAAACTTCGAACGGACAACGTTTTAGGGTTTAGGGTTTAGGGTTTAGGGTTTAGCCTTTGGAATGAAGGCATTTTCCGAAAAATGTCAGACTTCATTCGAAAGGCTGCTCGTCGAAAGAACCCCCCCCCCTTGGCCACACAGACTTTGGAAACACCGGCCAACTTTCAATATGGACATCGTAATCTCCCTTTTTTTTTTTTTTTTTTT